AATGGTAGCTGCTTTGCATGGGGCAGGCACACAGAGAGTAGCTCAGCACCCCTTAGCAGTCATGCAGTCCTAGGGTGGTCCAAGGGCTTCACTACACTTTGAAAGCTGGTCTGGAGGAGTGAGGAAGCTCTGATCCTGATTAGGGGGATCTCTGGCAAGAGCTGCTCTACTGGAGACAATTAAACCATCCTAGAGGTGGGCTTGTCATTGCTGTGGTCAATGAAGCACATGGGGGTCTCTGAGATTGAGTGATGTGCTTTTCTGTAGCTGGTATGAGTGTGACCCTCAAGAGTTTTGGACATTTACCTTCTGGAGCCACTGGTACCTATGTGATGGTCTGAGAGTCCTACGGGACACCAGCATCTCCCACCTCACCAAGAGGAGTTGTTTCGATTTCTAATATCTAGTTCCACATTATTAAGTGATAGCTCCCTCTTTGAATTCTAAAGTGTGATTTAGATTCTGCACAGACTCGTGTTTGTAACAACTGTTGTCTAAAGCAGCTTAACTATCAATGCATAGACTTTCCCCAGAGGGGTTGATTGTGTTAATTCCTCCCAGGAAAGCTCCACAATTTCATGCGTTTATGTTAAAACACAAAGGAAAGAAGTAGGGATTAAAGGTGCCTGTGAATGTATGCCCACAGACACACATCTAGGGAAAGGTTTCACTGTGCATTTAGACACACAGAAGTCACCAGGCCTCCCTAGAACATCCCACCTGTTCCTAGCTAGTCCTTCTGGAATGGTCCTAATTGAAGCTGTCAGTTATCAGGAGTTAGGTTATCTCACAATGTGTTTGGAAGGCAAACTCAAAGTTTAATTTAACTATTAGGAAATGACTATAGAAAGTTGTAAAACAAATTACATTCTATGTGCAGATGGAATTGGGAGTTCTGGTAACAGACACATCCACAAATTTCCTTTTCCGAGTTTGTCATTTCCCCTAAGAATGATTTCTGAGTGTTTGGACTGAATTGAACAGAAAATATCCCCCACAAAGAGGAGTGAGTACAGATCAGCACTATGCTAGCCCTTAGTAGGGTTCTGCAGACCATGGCATGTGTCTGTCTTTGAGTAGGAGGTACAGTTGGCAAGCCTGTCTACTAGGCAATGGTTAGAGTCCCTAAAGTCAACTCTGGTGAGAGGGTGATAAGACCACAAGGGACTAGGTCATCAGAGATCATCACATGCTTTCCAGAGGCTGAACCATAGTACCCTGAGGTCAGTCAAGTTAGCCAATTACTGTAGGAACTCTCCAGGACAGCTCTCCTTGGAAAAGCATGCTGAGTTACACTGGGGCATTTTGAGGCTCACGCCTGGGGCCAAGAACATGGAGGTTAGATGCTGAAGAGTCACTTCATGGTGACAGTCATAGTAATTATCACTGGGATCCAGAGGACATGTATGACTGGTGGAGAGGGGCACAGTCTCATCCATATTCCTTTCAAGAGGCCAAGCCTTGGGCATGATATCACAGGGATGGGATTCATGCTCTGCCCTGCCCAGTCCTCGTCTGTTACCATCCTTGTTGAATGGGTCATATTGCTTCCTCAAGGGCTAAGCTTTGACTCTCAGGTTGTGCTCTAAGAAGTGCTGTATGCATCTGCATCCTGCAGGGGAGGGCTCTTGGACCCATTCCTGCTACTTCTTCCCTTCCCTTAGAGATCCACATGTCCTTTCTTTCCAATTTAGTTTAAGTAGAAGGCTGCTTCCCAAGGTAGGTAGACATCTCTACTCCCAGGAACTACCCAGAAGGAACTATCATTCCCTAGTCAGGGAATCGTGGTTTATCAAAGCAAAGAAAGTCAACCAAACATCTGCAAGCTCTCATGAACATGGGTTGTTGTGTAATCTATTTCTGCTATAAGTGCTGACCTCCCTTCAGCTCTTTGGGGGCTCTTTTCCCTTCTCTATGTTCTGGGAGGCACTTGTTTAACACAATACCTGTAACACGGTATCTGTTTCATCGGACTCTATGTTTAAGTCTTGAGGGCAGAGGCATGGTTCTGAACTATATCATGCTTGGGATCCATCCCTCTGCAGCACCCAGCATATATGAACAGGGTGTGTTTCACAATGGCTGCTCAGCATCTTTACTACATCAGAGGCTTCTCCATTTGGTTGGATTTTAGGTTGTTTGCTTTCCTTTTTCTAAATACTCACTTGGAGACTATTTTTAAAAGATGAAAAAAAATCCACATTTCCCACTGGTGGGTTCTGAGGAGTATGGAATTGGGGGTAGGAAGCAGACATGGTTCTATGAATCCTGAGGGTTAAGAACAGTCACCACTTCCCAGGGCTTGATGAATAAAGCTGAAGTTTCCTGCTAATAAACACTAGTAGAGGGAAAAGCTCAATAATAAAATGACAGCAAGGGTGGGAGAAAAATCCTACATGGGTGGGCAGAACACACCCAGGTCTGAGAAGCAATTCTGAAAGGCAACCATTGGATTGAAGGGTTGAGAATTTGGGTATCTTCTTTAGACTCAGGAACTCTCTAAGTAGGCAGTTCTAGGTTTCTAAACTAGCTGATATAAGCTCCCTGATAAGTAGTATTTAAGGGCTGTGTTTTCAGGGAAGGGGAAATGCTGCTGCAGCCCAGTGACTAAAATGAAGTGTCTCTGTCATGGAAGGTGTTGACCCTACAGCAGTGGGGTAGACACCTGGAGTTTTCTAGGGGCCAGCAGCAATCAGACCTGTGAGAATTTACTGACAATCAGAATTAGGTTGCCTACAAAAAAAGGGGGTAATGGTAATTGGGGGAGGGTTCTGCTTCATCCCATTCCTCACAGCCACCTGACCTTAGCTCCTTGAGTGGAAAAAGCCAGTGTCCAAGTGGCTCTTCTTTGTGGTAAGAGCCACAGTGGCTACTTGCATGTCACTGATGTCTTTGTTTCTGTTGGATTCTGTCTGTTTTTCTAGAAGGGGTAAGACCTCTGTGATCAGTTGTGTACCCTCCCGCCCCTAATTACTAGGATCCAGCAACAAGTTCTCACATATATGAGGCTCCTTGGTTCATGATCAGGCTCTACTGGAATTCAGCATGTAAACATTAATGTTTGAAATACATTGAATATCATCTGTGTAGACACACACGAAGCTCTCCTCAGTCCTTACTACAAATATCACATAATTTACCAAATGAGGGACTTACAGGTAAGATGATGGGTTAGAAGCCCCTTTTGATGGTTAGTGTTGATCATCAACCTGACAGAATTTAGCATCATCTGGTAGACAAGCCTCTGAGCATGCCCGTGGAAAATTATATTGATGTGGGAAGACCCATCTTAATTGTGTGTGATCCTTAGGCAGGGGATCCTGGACTAAATAGAGTGGAGGAAGCCAGCCAAGTAGCAAACATTCAGTGTTTTCTTTCATGACTGTGGTTATGATGTGAGCAGCTGCTTCAAGATGACACACTGACCTCCCCATAATGATGTAGTCCAGAACTATAAGTCAGAATAAAACATTTCCCCCTTAAATTGTTTTTGTCAGGGCACTTTATGATAGAAACAGGAAGAGAAAGCTAAGGCAACCTCTGCATGTCCCACTGAAAGAAATAAGATAGTAAGCAGTAGTGTCTATTCTAACAGCTGAAAAATGAGAGGATACACCAGGTGAATTCTCCAGAGGCAGGAGCATGAAGTTTGGGCCAAGGCTAGGGGTAATTTCCAGAGGGACCCTTCAGTTACACACATGGTGGAACTCTGGGCTGGAAAAAGATAGGCTATAAAAATGTGACCAGGGGCTGGCTATACAGCAGAGAGACATAAGACCAGCACAAGCTCTGGAGACAGAGGCTAAAGTGTGCCTGAAGCTGAGATTCACTGGGAATCTGGAGGGAACAGTCCAAGAGGGAAACATCCTGCTATTACCTGGGCAGGTGGTGATCTGGGAACTAAGAAGTACAATGCTGAACTCAGGGTAGGTGTGCCCAAGTCAAGACAAGAGGAGTGACTTGATATGAAGCTACATGGTGACTGCAGAAACAGAATCTTACAGGGGCAGCTGGAGTCCTGATAAGAGGAACCTGCCCAGCTGAAACGTTAAGCCATGGTGTGGGGTGTGGTCCCATTAATACCTTAGATGTAGAAACTCAAGCCAGGGAAGCAAGACCATCCAGAACATGTGGAATAATAACCCGTGGAAACTGCCTCACATCAGTCTATACTGAGGGTTGGGAGAACTCAAGGGCTGACATCTACTGGCAGCTGAGCAGAAATAACCCAAAAGATTCATCAGAATATATGCAGTGTCTCCCTCAAGGAAATTCCTGCAGGTAGTGTCTCTCATCCATATTAACTCCACACACTTCTTGTGTGGAGCTCTGCCCAACCACAATATGCAGCACCATGTATCATTAAGACAAGATTATGGACCCCCTAGTATAGGGGTGCAGGATTGGGAGAGGGTAAAGGAAAAGGTTAAAACTGATAAACATGAAGAAAGTAATCAAAATATTGATTCGAGTAAGTGGCTCTCTGGACTAGGTGGGATGCCCCAGAAAAGTACACTGAGCTAGGATCTTACTCTGAAACCAAGTGAAGTCAAGAATCAGGGGGTGGGGGAGGCATGGTGATGGTTTGTGTTTAATATTGGTCCCATACATGAAGGGAAGCAAGAGCTACGTGCCACATTAGTCAAGGTTGGTACAAGGAAGCAGAAAGTCCTAGTAATACACTAGAGATAGGTAGGAGATTTGGAGAAGTCAAGGATGCTGTCTAATTATCTGGATTAAGACATTAGGTGAGGGTAATCCATTCTATGATTTTAGGAGATAAGGATGAGACGGAGCAAAAAAGTTTACCTCTGCTGTCTATATCTGCAGTGCAGGGCAGCATGAGGGTAGAAATGCCAAGTAGCTAGTGTGTGGGAGAATGGAGCAGAGAGAGGGGTGGATAGCCACAATTCATGGATCTAGAGCCTACTGCATGATGGCTTGTAGTCATGATCAAGCCATGAGTGGCCCATGACTGGTAGAGGGTCTTCACACAGTACCTGTTGTTGCAAGCCCCTGTGATGGGTCGGTACTTATTTGCCAGGCATGTATCAGGACATCTTGGAGGCAGCATGAACGGCAAGCATCCTGACAGGTTGGCAATTGTGCCCAGAAGGTCTGCTGCTAGGGCATCTGCATAACAAGACAGACCAGTGCGTGTGTGACATCAGTACCAGATAAAGTACCTTTCCAACTGTGTATCAACCATAGCCTCAACATCTGCATCGGGACTTCCTGTATAGACTCAGTCACCATTCTGAGAAAACCACTATCTCCTTCTCAGTCATATACACTTTCATTTAATCTCCTTGAGCATCTTCATTGTTAGGAGAGTGGGAGTTTTTCTACTTTTGTGCTTTGTGATGATTCAGAAAAACATCCTGAGCACCATGTGGCTCCAAGACAAGCCAGTAGGCTACTACTTAGAGTTGTCACCCATTCATAGCACACATCACTAGGGCCAACTCATTTTATCTGTACAACAAAAACATTCCCATTTCACAATTATCCAATGCTTCAGGAGAATACTAAGACAGGATGTCTATCCTCCTGTAGAAACCTGACTTGGTTTAGCTTGCTAATAGTGTTCATTCCTTCCTCTATAAAAGCCTTTATTTTTTTCTCCTATTGATTATTTACTCTTATAAACTTCTCTAGATTAGAGCCTTTGGATGCAATCTCTTTGGTTTATGTTTACTGTTTTTCTTGCCAATTCTGTCACTGTTTATGTTATTCAACAAATCAAGGTGAGGAGGCTTGAAGATAACCCTACAAAACTTGGATGGCTATATACTAATGAAATTGAGACACTCACTAGAACAGTGGTTCTCAGCCTGTGGGTCATGACCCCTTTCACAGGGGTCACATATCAGATATCCTCCATATCAAATATTTACACTGTGATTCACAACAGCAGCAAAATTACAGCTATGAAGTAGCAACTAAAATAAATTTATGGTTAGGGGTCACTACAACAGGAGTCAGCAGGCTCCCATCCTTGGGCCGGGTCACCCCACACCACTTCTACCACTGTCTGAGCTGATGTCACTGCTGGGTAGGGACCAATGTCCTTAGAAAGGTCTTTCAACTATGCAGTCTGAAACAAAACCCTTTTAGGAATGACTTTTTGGTTGCTATAAAAAATCAATTAAACATAACTATTCAGTGTAGGATCTGAGAACTGTGGTTGATCCTGGTTTAAAAGGAGTTCCTCTTACCAGGCAAAGCAGCACTAAATTAACATATATCAGAGATCAAGTAACTCACGGCACTGCATCCGAAATAAATCTCACTGAGCTTGTTAAAAGAAAGCTGATTTTCCGAGTGTGGCTTCATAGAAGTAATGACGCATCTCTGGGCTATGCCCACATTTGCTTCAGTATCTCAGGTCCACAGAGGTTTTGATCTGAGGTGGTTCATGCTTTCTTCCACTGTGTTCTACTGCAGCTGCCATGTGAGCAGCCGGAGACTGCAGACTCACCTCAGTTTTGGAAAGCCCGTGTGGCTGTTACATTCTTTGAGTAACTAAAATCAGAAAGCCCTGGCTACAAACTGGGAAGGTGAAGCTCCTGACCAGCCCTTTGCTTGCTGTGACAAGACACAAACAGAATGAATGTTTCCTCAGAGAGCTCCTACAAGTGAATGTGTTCCCCATGTGTCACTAGGTGGGAAGGCTACAGGAAAATTCCCAATTTATTTTAGACCACAAAGGGCACGTTTCTCTAGATAGGATTCGAATACCAGAGGAACTGTATTTCTCAGAATAACACAAATAAGAAATCGTGTGTGGGTTTAAGCAGAGGCAGAGGCATTTGGCCACTTACCTGTGAAGAACTGTGATTGTTCACGTTTCAAGGCTTGTATTGATGTTTCCATGATCTCTGCTGCTCGGGAAACAGCCCCACTGGTGGACTCTGGCAGCTTGGAGAAAGAGAGAAGCTGGGTTGGGGAAAGGACTTCCCTTTTCTTGAGGTTCCTAGAATAAGGAGGTATAAGTTAACTGGGGCTGGAGAGGCAGATCAGCTGGCAAGAGTACTTGATGAACAAACACGCAAGTATTCAAATTGGATCTCCAGAACTTATAGAAAAATCTGGGCATGGTGATATGTGCCTGCAATCCCAGTCCTGGGGGGTTGGTGGAGACAGGTAGATCTCTTGGGCACCCTGCAGACTAGCCAAACTGGTGAGCCCCATATTCCAATGAGAGAACAAGTCTCAAAATATAATGTGTAAGGCTCCTGAGGTTCACTTCTGGCCTCCTCATGCGTGTGCATGTGAACCTGCACACAGACATCCCCCAACACCCTTCCCTATCACTAACACATATATCACATATACATATACACCAATAAATAGAACACTTAGTGAGTGACTGCACATACCAGACAATGCACCAAGGGGCATACAAAGGAAAAGCCTAGATGGTTCTGAACCACAGAATTGCTGGGGTCCGTAAAAGGGATAGAGTATCAATATTGGGTGCTGAAGAAAATGGCCAATATTTTCTCTTTAAGAAACATCCATATCTAAATGATCTTGATTCTCTCTTACAGTTCTTTGGTTCTCATGAAAACCTGGGCTGGGCAGTCACCACAGGGCAGAGTGTCTCAGCTGTAGTGGGGAGGATCATCATATCAACCACCTCCAGAGTCAGAGTGTCTAAGGCCAGGCAGACCCCTGCAGCTGGCACAAGTGTCCCTTTCCTGTTCTTGGTTGTCGCAGATGGACCCAGGTTTATATCACTGCAGCTTTTGGGAAAACAACTCAGCCTTCTTTTCAGTTTTCTCATATTCTGATTAAACGGAATGTTTATATTTTCCATTTATTACTAATAGCCTAAAATACATACTGCTCTCTGAGCAAACATGTTTCAGGAGATTCAGTGCAGTTGCATCATATTATAGCCTGAAAACATGATGAAAGAGGCCACTTGCTCTCATTACAGAACAAAAGCAGTTACTTCAGGTGACCGACAGTGTCTGCTGTAATCATTTCCACATCTCTGTGTATACCCAAACAGCGTGCTGATCACCCCAAAATATGCAATACAAATAAGACTAAAAAAAACCTCAGGACATAAATACTATGATTATGACAGTTTTGTAGGTAAGGAATTTAACACTTAACTCATGTAAGGTGAGTAGCTTTTGCAAAGTAGATATGAGTGACAGCAGCAATGTTGAGATACAAACACACACACACACAGTGGGGGCCCACAAAGGCTTCTTAGTGAAATCTGAGCTTGCTTTACACAGCAGGACTGCATTAGGGGATAGCTTGACCATGTGCGTGATCACCAGGTACCTGGGAAAATCTGCACTTGGCTGTGCTGGGGGGAGGTCTTTTGCTCTACCACTTGGCATTCCTTTAAAAGCCCTTTATTAGAGACAGAAGGGGCTGGTGATTTTGACCCAGGCCCTCCCAAGGCTATCCTGTGTTTCTGTCTCTCCCCTCTATATTTCTATGTACATATTCCTCATTTCTCCCTGCTCAAGAGTACCCTGGGGGAAAAGTGGGGTCAGGCCCTGACCCCTTTACTTGTACTGGAAATGACTCTGTTTACCAATGTCCATGATATAAAATATGACTTATCAAATACTTCTATTTTTTACATGCCCACATATTTGTAAAAGATCCAATGAAGTCCTGAGCCTTGAGGAGACAGGTTATACAACATGCAAACTAAGATATGAATTGATTAAAGTTCCATGGGAACTGACAGAGGCCAGGAGACCCCATTTCAGAGGTGGAGGTCATTGTCTCTTATCACTAGCAGGGCTATATCTTCCTGAGATGCTAATGGTAGACAGGAGCATGGCCCCTAAAGACAGACATTTCTCTAAAATTTATTTGAGCAAAGGACATTGCTAACAGGGAAAATGGGATGTTTTAGTGTTTGTATTTTGAGCACCCCTTCTGATGTTCACCTCTGTAAACGGGCAAATATTTTGGGTGCAGGGTGATTTGTCTTTCTACTTAGTGGTTGATGAACTCTTCCTGACTGCCCTAGCTGCCTTGAGGGAAAAAATGGTCAGTCTAACAGCCAGCTGGCTATCATTATGCCAGAACCAGCCATTGAATACCCCATGGACACTGGAGTATGGGAAACAAGGACCCCCGCTCCTCCAGGAGGTCTGTCCCAGGCCTTTTGCTGCCATGAGCCTTGATGAACTGTGTCCGCCTCCTTTGAGGAGCACGTCTGATGTTCTAGCAGAAAAACTGCTGAAATTGATGCTGGGGCTAAAGAGTGCAGTGGGTCTAAAACCCAAGCCTTGATGGCGGTGATGGGTGCTAGGGAAGGGTTGAGCATCCAGCTGCCTGACTGCCCAGGAAGCAGATGATCAGTCTGAGAGCAGCTAGGGCAGGAAGAACGAAGCAGAAGGAAAGAGGAGGAGGGAGTGGAGAGTTGAGAGAAAGGAAGGACAAAGGTGTAAGAAGCCAGGGAAGAGAACACGCCAGCCACAGTTGATGGAATATTTTCAGGGAGCTGCCAATTCCTTAGAGCCAAGGGTCTTAGACCCTAGCCTGAGAGCTATAATACTAGTCTCTGCCAAGGGCTAAATTTCTAAAACTCCAGGCCTGGTAGGTACCGGTACACTTGTAAGGCTAAGGGTTCTTATACCTGAGACTCACAGGGACTGTGACACTGGAGGGCACCACTTTCTGATGCTGTTGCTCACTGCTGCCAAACGAGGTAATGAGAGCTACTGGAGAGCTTCTCCTTGCCTATCCAGCATTCCTATCTGGAGAGAGCAAAAAGAACCCTTGGCCTGCTGATTGGTGATGCCAATGCCCTCCTCTGTTCTGAGGTAGACAGCCACCGGAGACAGTCTTCCCTGGTACCTTGACCCCTAGGCTGGACATTCTAGTCCTCACAGCTTGCTGATGATAGCGGTCATTACCACGGACCAGTGCCTCTGTATTCCTCTAGCTTGTCCCCTTAGCTATCACACAGCCCTTCAAGAGGACTGGTCCTCCCTGGTGGATTATCTCCCTTCATACCCAGCCTGCCATGCGCTCTGATCTTAGGGGCTCGATGAAGTGTTTGTACCAGTTGCCCAGTCAGCTGTCCATCTGCTGCTGCCCCTGGGGAGCAGAATAGGCAGCTCCATGTGTTAACCCTCCAATCACAGTGCATGTCTCCAACCATTGTGCAGGGCTCATTAACACTCCAGCTGCAGAGACTGGAAGGGTATTCAACGATGGGCGTGTGTCCTTATATTTGCAGAAGGATATTGACTTTACACTCACATTTCGGGAACTCTGTTCAGCTGGCTCAGCATTCCTCATGTGAAAAGCCGAGGAGAGCCATGTGTCAGATTTATGTTCTCTTTAGTCCCTGGGGTGTTTGAGGAGTGGAGAATGCTGCCCAGCAGTGTCATCCTCATTAAACCATCCTGTGCCCTTTGCCTCTCAATCTGCTGCCAAGTGGAACCTGGAATATTTCAGTATCGGCAGACTAAGATGATGTCACCGATCTGAGCACTGATAATCCTGCTGAGAGTATCCTGGAGCCCACAGGCGACTGTGAACCAGAAATTCACTTTGAATGCTGAAAGGGAGCACATTTGTTGCTCCAGGAGTGGGCCTAGTGGGTGAGAATGCGATCCTGGCACTTTGTGCTGTCTATGGCTTCCTGTTTCCCCAGATCCACTGCCTCTCAGCAGAGAAAAAAATAGGGAAAGTAATCTTGTCCACATTCTGGAAGGGAAGGAGAGGAGAGGAGAGAGTGAAGGAGGGGAGGGAGTGACAGAGGAAAGGGGAGAAAGGGAGAACAAAAGGAGAAGAGGGGGAGAAAGGAAGAGATAGAGGACTGCCTGGTGACTATATGGATATAGATTTTTTTTTTTTTTTGGTGCATCTGCAGATGCACAAAAGCCAGTTTGAGCCAGGAAAGCTCATTTGCTTGGTCTGATGAGGACTCTTGGTCCAAGAGATTAGAGGCATTGGTGTCTTTACTCTTAAACCCAGAAAGGGCTGGTGAGCATAACTGGTCCCCCACACAGGGGTCTTTGGAGCTACTTCCTACAGTACAGTTGACCTAGGTGACCCAGCCATGACTGGCATAGGCCCTATCCACCCTTGCCAGCCTTTAGACCTGGCTCTACTTCCTACTGCAGAAGCACAGGCTGCCTATCACAACTGAAGCTGCCATACTGCCAGTTCAGCCTCATGCCCTTTCCTCCCCAAATGATGCAGCCGGGGCCTTCCCGCACCGAGATCGACACCATGAAACTCTTTTAAGTTTATGAATTCTCTGCCACCTCTCCCACCTCCAGTGGGTAACTCTTCTGGCTCTAAGATTCCCAGGAGCATCTCGCACTACTGAAAACTCCCCGTCTTCCCTGACGATTCCCATCAGTTCATCTTCTAGGGAATATTGTTGCCTCTTTTGTTCACCATCAATTTTTTTTAATAGTCAAGTAACAATTTGTCTGTAGCCAACGTGGAATAATGAAACATTTTCTGCCTGGAATAATAGAAATTTGAAGCAAATCGGAAGGTGTCAGGTAATAATTTGTTCCTTGAGAGATGCTGTAACTTTTCACCAACTTCCAATAAAACAATAAGCTTGTGAAGACAAAACCTAGCATGTTTTTTGAAGTTTTCTGAACATCTAACGAGACACCACGATACCATTAGCACTGGCGTCTGTCACATATCTAAAAGGACGATGTCAGGGGCTGGAGAGATGGCCCAGAGTTAAGAGCACTGACTTCTTTTCTAGAGGACCCAGGGTGGATTCCCAGCACCCACACTGTGTGGTTCATAACTGTCTGTAATCCAGTTCTAGAAGATCTGATGCCCTCATCTGGCCAGTGCAGGCACATGGCATGCACATGGTTCTTAGATATGCATGTGAGCAAAACACGTACACACATACAATAAGATAAAACATTTTTTGAAAAATTGAAAATGAGTATATGATATCAGTTGTTTTAGGAAAAGATGATGGGCAGCTTTGGTTCTAGGCTTGAGGTAGTGTCATGGGGACATCCCAGTGGTTAGGCACCAAGCCTGAGGTGTACAGCACCCTTTCTTCCTTGATGTGTCCTAATGTTATTCCTGACCAGGCTTCAGACTCTGTCATCATGGCTCCCTGAACTATGACTACACTAGGGGCCTTTGATCTGTGTTTCTCTGAGCTGAGAGTTTGAGACTGAGCATTATTTTTTTCATTGCTGCCAACAGCACTGGAACCATGAGTCATCTCATATGAGCTCATTTGCAAGAGGGAGTAATGGTGAACACTGTCCCTTACCTCTTCATGGTGCTGTAGACTGCATTGTCCACCATGAGCTGGCTCGCTTCCACCACATGGGTAACACGGGACTTCATCGTCTTCCCTAGGATATAAAACATGGCACCACTAAAACAGACCCACAGTAAAGGAACTCTGCCAGCTTTAGCTTCCTTCCTCAAGTGCAGATGGACACAATGCCAGTCACGTGGTCTCTAGAAATGAATGGATTATTGGGCTGTTCTTGAGCATTAACATTTATATAAAAATGAAACAGATTATGAAAAGGTAAACTAAGTAACTGCGTATTTCGGACAGTGTGTCAGTGAGAAGGCCTATAGCATTCAGCACCTGACAGCATCTACCTTCGCTGTTTGATGTAAGGAGAAGCAATATGATGGGAAACTGTTGGAGAATCTGAGACGTTTGTGATCTCAAGTCCCCGAGACACCAGCTTGGGGCACAGTGTCTATTCATTCTCCAGCTGACTTCTAAATACACCACCTTGTTATACCCAGTTCTCATTTCCACTCCTGAGTCAGCTGTGGTCCTGAATTCACTAGCTGGGAAAAGTACTCATCCCTCAGACAGTGCCTGTCTGCTTCCCACCATGATGATCTTGGACTAACCCTCTAAAAACTGTACACCCCTCCCACACACACATTTTAAGGCTTTCTTTTTGTAAGCATTGCCTTGGCCAAAGTGTCTCTTCACAGCAATAGAACACTGGCTAAGACAGCGTCTGAGAGTTTGTCTGGAGTCCAGTGCGTTGGAGACGCTTGAAAATGTGTCTCTTTTCCTTTCACTTCATTAGTGCCTTTTTGGGAAGTTCTGTACCTCATAACTGGCTTCCCCTACACTCCCATCACTGAGTGGGAAAAGTGGCAGCTGAGACATCTCACCTTTCTTTCCTTCCTGTCTTTTAAAATACGGACCTGCTGGACTGCGCCTCCCCTCACAACACAAAGACCCTGATGAGTAACATTCAGACTCCTTTCTGTGGAACACAAGACCCTAACAATCTACAAGGACCAGGTTTAATATTTCAAAGTTCTGGGTGTGATAGCCTGATTTCCCCCTTACTTTAAAAAGTATCATCCTCTGGTACTAGAGAAATGGCTTAGTGAAGAACATCTGCTACACAGCATTAGGAACTCAGTTCAGATCTCAATATCCATGAAAAAGTCTGGCACGATTTCATGTACCTTTTACTGAAATGCTGCACAGAGCAGGGACAGGAGGATCACTGAGGCTTGCTGGTTGCCAGTCTAGTTTCAGGTTCAGGGAGAGAATCTGTCTTAGGGTAATAATGTAGAGTGTGGTAGGACTCCTGATGTCTTTTTCTGACCTCTATACACATACACATGGGCACAAATGCCCTTACATACCTGTGTACATATCCCACCCACCCCCAAACTAGCTACTTAAAACAGGCAACTCATTTTCTCTTCTTTAACAAAATAATGGCCATTTGAGTAGATGCAGCAGAAGAACTTGATCCGTTCTTCATGGTGTATCCTGTGCACTGTGAACCTTAGAGAGCTGGGTACCCGACCTCTATCCAGTGGAGGTTGTACTTAGTAGGCATTTGTCATGTGTAAGACCTAAATGATTGAATAAAAGAATTAACTATAAAGCAAAAAAAAATTATTTTTTTGTGTATGTATTTACTATTCTGGGGAATAGTAGCTGCCAGTGAGAGACTTTCCTGTTATTTACCCCTATTAAAGTGAAATTTAAATTAAACTGATCATGCATTGCTTATACTTATTTGCTACATTACAAAATATTTTACCAAAATTTAAAGAAAGGTTTATTTCAAATTTTGTCTTTGAACCAAAGATTTTTGTATTAAAATTTTTCCTGTAGAAACACTTTCTCATCTATGATCTCATCTAAAATCCCTGTGGGACTGGATAGATTTTAAATTAATTATGTTTTGGATAAACAGAGATGTCTCGTTTATCTACAACAGAGGAGAGAATCTTCCCCTCTGCCCATCTCAGGTTAACTTTCTGGGGCTGCATAAATTAGACAGACAAAGGAAGGATAAACAAGAGAAAAAACTGGCAGCCAGCAAGCCTTGGTCTGTTTGCTGATGTCCCACGAGAGCTGCCAGAGCTAACTGACAGAGCAGAGCTGAGAAGTTGGCTAGATGGCATTCTCAGGAAAGGAAGAAAAGAGGGGAGGAAGGGAGGAAGAGATGGAGGGAGGGAGAGATGGAAGAAAAGAGGGAGCAGGTGGTTAGTGAACGAGCTGTGAGGAGGCAGATAAATGGGGAATGCCACCAGACAGCTGGCAGCTGGGTTTGTGATGTGGGTTCCTGGATGTCTGTGCCTGGCTAGAGACCTGGGGCCTTCCTTTCTTTCTTCCCCTCAGGGAGGGGTGAGACACTTTGCAAGTGGATTTTCTGGCCAGCAGGTGGAGACAGAGTGCTTCTCTACGACCTGTGGCATTCTCTCTATCTCAAGATCCACCCAGCAGGTGCACAGGCTACCCATGACTTGTGGTTGAGGCTAGGACAATGACCCTGAGAATTTCAACTTAGCCTCTTCTGTTTTTCTAGAAGAAAAATCCAAATTCTAGAGAATAACTTGACTCATTCCCTGTCTGGGAGATATCATCTGTCATCTGGCTTTCCACGTGTACCTCCTGAAAGTGCCATCTGCTCTGGGAGGCACACTGGCCTCTAGAATCCCACCCTTTGCATATTCATAGCTGGAATGCAAGAATTCATTATACAAGAAGATACTGTGTGTCAGGACAAAGAAACAGGCTATGTAGTTCCAAACATGTTCACTAATACAAAGCAAAACGGAGTGAAACACAGCAAAGAAACCAAGGTTTCCTCTCCAAAGCCACAGAGGCCCCAGGCTCCTAAGGGCTGCCCTTGGCTACTCAGATCACTAGGCTTTTTCTCAGAGCCACGTGTGGATCCTGTTTTGACGGTCTCTGTTTTCAGAAATCTGGTGAACTGGAACAGAGCTTGCCAGCTTTCCTTTTAAACAAACTCCCCCACTAGGCTAGCTTCCCAATCTCAGGATTTGCAGGCCGCTTTCCTGCTCACACTGCTGCTCATTTGCATCTTATTTTCTTTTCACAGCTACAACTAGCTGCTGAGTTCACCATGCAGATAACTTCGCACAGATCTTAATTTTGCACCAACACTGGAAGCCTGTCTCAGTTTGTAGAGAAGAATACGCGGGTCTTCAGGAAGCATGTGCCACTAAGCATTGTCAAGAGATGCTCCGAGCAAAGTTTTCTTAGATTTATAGTGGTCGTGGGTATACTTCAGGAGAAAATGAAACCTTTTTTTCATTTTCAGTACTTTGTTACCGAATTTCCAGGTGTTGAGGGCTCTTTTCCTCTGTGTTTCGAGCCATCTGGCTCTCCACAGTGATGTGTGTGTGTCCTATAGCTTTGCTTCCCAAAGTGCCACTGATGTCACCCAAATGCACAAAGTCACCTCTGCATTGTCATCTTCCAAATGCATTTAATTTTGGCTGTGGTGAAATAGACCAAATGAAAACTATGTTTCAAATACATTTTAGCAGTGAATATATATTATTTCAAAGGGCTGTTGTTTTGTTTTCAGCTGACTAAATAATGTTCATACATCAAAGAATGCAAAATTGAACCACTGTGAAGCAAATGCTTTTTGCTTGCTTTTGTGTTTGCGACAGGGTCTTATGAAGTCCAGGCTGGGCTCACTTCAACTTGCTATATATCCGATGCTAGGTTTGAACTCTTGATCCTCCTGCCTCAGAAGAGATTACAGGTGTGCCACCATACCAAAAGAACTTAAAGAGCACTACCAGTGATTTTAATGATTTTCTTTTATTTAGTACCAAACCCAGGGCCTCATATATGCCAAGCCAAGTTCTGCCCTGCTGACCTATACCAGACCAAACGTATAGCCAAAGCTGGCCTTAACCTTGTGATTCTCTTGTTTCATCCTCTTTAGTGTTTGCCTATCGAGACGTGGCACCACTGCTGGCATATTTTCTAAATAAGAAATTTATGGAACAGATGGATAATAAGTCTGCTTTAAAATATCAGAATGAATGGTAAAATACATTCCAAAGTGCACTATCATTGTAAAAATTGTTTTCTGCATTATCATATATTATTAAAAATGTAAACAAGAGAGTTAAGTATTTTACAGATTTATAAATCATGCCTTTCAGCCCAGCATTCTGGAGGCAGAGGTAGAGGCAGGGAGATCTCTGTGTGTTCTACATAGCGAGTTCCAGGCTGATGGGGGCTACATACTGAAACCCTGTCTCGAGAAACAAAACAAAAAAATCTGTGAGCAGAGTTATAGATAACCCACATCCTGATTTTTGAAAATAACACAATTTCTAAAATTTAAAGCCATGCTGTGCAGATGTTTTTATGAACAGCTCATGGGTGCAACAGCGTGCTCTTGACTAGCCTCCTGACCTCTGCCTTTTCAGTCTTGTTTTATTTCTCTAGGGCCTTGATAACGATTAAACAAAATGATGAAGTGGTTTACTCCCTGTCTGTGTGCTGAACACCTGTTCCAGATGTTAGAAGGGTTGGTGTGGAGGGGTAGGATTTAAAATGACTACCTCTTTTGTTTCCTCTGGTTGTCAATGGCAGCACACTTCCTAAGTTAAGGCTGAGCAGAAATGCCTGTGATGGTCAGTTGAAGGGACCCAGACTTGGAAGGGGAATGGCATGCCCATCAGAAGGAGTGCCTTGCAGGTCCCAGTGGGAACACCCAGAAGGAAGGGAGAGAGGGAGGGAGGGAAGGAGGAAGGGAGGAAGGGAGGAAGGGAGGAAGGGAGGAAGGGAAGGGAGGAAGGGAGGCTTTCTTTGGGAACTCCTGACTGAGCTTGCAAAGGCAGCTGGTGATTTCAGCACAGTCATGATGTCCAGACATTCAGAAGAAACAGGCAGAACATGGCTCCTAGCAGGAAGCAGGTTCGAGTGTGGATGAGTGTGCTGAGGCCCAAGGGCTGGGCTGTGTTTGAGAGATGGGAGGCAGCAAGTGCCCCTCCAGCATTCTGCCACCAGGATGCTTGCTCCTTCCTACCCCATGTCCCTCTCTTCTTCCCTTCCCTATCCCCTCCTTTCCCTCCTTCCTTTTCCTTCTTTATAGCAAAGATTATGTTAACCGTGACATCTCAGTAGCTTTCTTACCGTAATTTTCCATACAACTGACGAGTTCCAGAAACTATACTAGAGACATTTAACGAAAGATGGTTTTATAACAAAGGAACAAAAATACTCAGAACTTTTCTTCCAGATAGATGTACAGGTAAAATGGAAATGATTTATTCTGCAGTCATGAAAGAAAAATCAGTTCTTTTAAAGGAGGAATTACAATTTCATCCTTCTAAACTGAAGAATTACATTATTCTCTTTGAAAAGCACAAAAGGGTCTTAACTGGTTCTCAACAACTGCTGTAACATGTTCAGTTTGTTGAGTGTGAAAAACAACTTTACAAGATGAAAAGATCACATATTATTTGTTACTTACCCCACAAGGCTTCTCTGCGTCTCAAGATAAAAGGGAAGAAAATTCCAGTTCCCATTACCACCAGCGTGACTGCCATGGCTCTAAGTGCTCTCATTCTGGAGCTGAAGTGGGGAAGAGATAATCAGGTATTCAGCAGTACACCGTGGGATCTACTATAAATACCCAGGCCTCTCCTCAGGTGGGCCCTCCCAAGTCCAAGGCTGCCACTCCTTAGTAAAGACACTCAGCCATCAGATGCATAGACAGCCTGGGGTGCTTATCAGAGCTGGTCCTCTGTTCATCAGAAATGTGAGACTAGAGAATTGGAAATTTGTCTATTCAAAGACATCTATATGGAGCAAACATCTGACATTAAGCATTTAGCACTTACAAAGATAAATCCTTGCACCTGCTGTATGTCTTAAGGAGTGAGGACTATAATCAAGTGATTTCAGAAGAAACAGAAGATCCTAAATTGGTCATGCTCCACTTTCTAAGTCTTTATTTTCCTACTCTTAGACACAGCTGGTTTTGAACCCCTGACTTTGCTAAGCAGGACATCCCAGGGAGAACACATCATAGTGCATATCATAGTGCGTGACCCAGCACACCTGAGCTGAAGTCATGGGAACAGGGCGCTGCCAGGCTTTGCTAGGAAAAGCTGTTTGCCACACAGCACAACAATGGCCTCCCATAGACAACTTTACACCTTTCATGATAGATTTCTCTTAGAAAATGGAAAATAAAAAGTTTTACAACCTGACCACTTTCCTTCGCTCAGCCGAGGAAGTAGGGTGTGCACAGTTGGGTGCGTTCTTTGTGGTCTTAACTTCTGAAATGTGAATCTTGATTAGTTTTCTGGGACTTGGTCACCTACCCTATAAATGGACTCTGTGCTCGGATACCCACTCAAGCTTCTGATGGGAGTGGCTCCATTCTATGTTTGCTTAGCATTGTATTCCTGCCAAGTTCCCGTGTGTCCTGGCTGGTCAGAAAGAAGGTGCCACATCACAGGGGACACTCTGTCCACCTGACTTAGAAAGAAGTGTGATATTCAGAGAAAGAAGAAACTTATTAAAAACCAACCCCTTTAACACTTGCACTTTTCTGAACTGATACAACAGGACGGATGGACAGATGGACCGACAGACGGATGTACGGACAGACATGGAGACACACACACACACACACACACACACACACCCGTGTACACACACATGCACACAGGACATTAAAGTAGGAGGCAGACTTTGGAAGAAGAGATTTAGTGGAGGGTAGTGGTAAGGAAATGGGAGGATAATGGGGTGCTCTGATATGTAATACATATGAGAAATTGTAAAACAATACATAAAATTAATAAAAAGTACCGCATAAAAGAGAAGATAGGAATCACCCAAAATCAGCTGAATTGTGTGCTATGCTGGTCCCCAGTGGCAATGGCAATGGCAACCTGGAAACCTTATTGTATATCCCTGAGGTACCAGGGTCCTTCTTCCTGAAAAGTGAATAAACTACAACCTCGTTTGTAAGGGTGAATAAAAAGTCTTATTCAGGATGCATTTGAAGCTCACCAGCAACATCCCCAAATCCACCATCTCTGAAATGGGAGAGATTCACTGGGCTCCTCCCTGCCAGAGTAAACAATAAAAGCTGTGAACAATAGAAGCCAAGATGCAGAGAGGACTCTGAGACCAGCCCAGCTGCCTGGAACAGGTCTAGATCAACTGTGGCACCTGGAAACGGCATCCTGATTTGAGCTGCCTGCAGGCTGCGTAGGGTGCTCCAGCTTACCAGCTTTATGAGCTGTCACCCATGCTGGGATGAGCTTTGGTGATGCAGCTCTCTTTGAGTCATTTCTGTCCCTCTATGTAACTCCTCACCCGTGTTCCCACAAGTAACCCCAATAAACATGGTTGGTTTATCAGGTTCAACTTTGGTGGCAGCCATACTTTGGTCTGTCATTGGTTCCCTATCTGGGGTGAGTAGACCTGTGTGTTGTGTCTCCCCAAGAAAAGTTCTGGTCACGCATATGTAAATACACTTCAGTGTTACCTGGAGGCCAACAGAGAATGCCTAAGAACATGATGATTTGCCTTAGAGAGACCCCCATGAAGGCAGCAGAGTGAATGCTAGAAAACTATAACTTTTCCTCTGAACTATAGGCTGCAATTTCCCCTTGTATCTCTATTAAGCTATAGTGATGAGTAAGTTACATCCATATGTGGACACCAGTTAGTACACTTTAGTGTACAAAGCAAAGAACAACAGAATGATTGGCTTTGCTTAAGACAGCCATCACCTCATGTATTCCTCTTTTTACCTCTCCTCATCTTCTCTTCATATCTCCTCATGACCTCTTCTCACACCCTTTTCTTATCCTCTCCTCATGTCCTCTCTCTATTTTTTCTCAGATTCTTCTTTCCTTGCAGCCTGTCTTCACATCTTCTCATACCCTCGCCTCACAGCCCTTTCTCATCATCTCCCCTTAGCTTTACTTCTCACCCCTCTCTCTGCATCTTTCCCCAATTCCCTTCTCACACTGTGTCTTAGTTAGGGTCACGATTGCTGTGAAGAAACGCCATGACCATGGCAACTTAGAGAGGAAAGGGTTCATTTGGCTTACACTTCCACACTGTAGTCTACCATGAAGGAAGTCAGAGCAGGAAACATGAGAACTCGGAGGCAGGAGCTGATGCAGAGGCCATGGAGAGGTGCTGCTTACTGGTTTGCTCATCGTGGCTTGCTCAGCCTGCTTTATTATAGAACACAGGACCAACAGCCCAGGGATGGCACCACCCATAATGGGCTGGACCTTTCCCATCAATCACTAATTAAGAAAATGTTCTACAGGCTTGCCTACAACATGATTTATGGAGGCATTTTCTTAATTGAGTCCCCCTCCTCTGAGATGACTTTAGCTTGTGTCTAGTTGACATAAACTATCCAGGACAACTGACCTCTTTTCAACTTGACACACAAACATATCACCATTAAGTCACAAACTTTCCTTTCTCATTCATCCTCAAGATCTCACATAAAAAAACATAAATAGCTTTAAAAGTCCCACAGTCTTTACATATCCAAACACATTAAAAATCCAGTTCCTTTAAAATATTCAGCATGCCTTTAATCCCAGCACTTGGGCGGCAGAGCTAGGCAGATCTCTGTGATTTTGAGGCCAGCCTGGTCTACAGAGTGAGATCTAGGACAGGCACCAAAACTCCACAGAGAAACCCTGTCTTGAAACACACACACACACACACACACACACACACACACACACCAGTCTCATTAAAAATCCAAAATCTCTTTTAAAAGTTCAAAATCCCTCAACTGTTAGCTCCTAAAAAACAATAATTAAGTCAAATACTTTCTTTCTTTAAGAGGGAAGAACCTCTTAAAGAAAGGTCAGAATCAGATTGAAGAAAAACCAAACTCCAACAGTGTGAATAACAAAATATGCAATATCTGGGATTGACTCACGATTTTATGGTCTCCTTCAAAGGGGTTGGGTCACTTCTCCATCTCTGCCCTCTGCGGCACACACAACTTGTCTTCTAAGTTCAGGATGGAGCTACTCCACTGCTGCTGCTGTTCTTGGTGCTCATCCCATGGTACCGGCATCTTCAAAACGCTGGGGACTCTGCTGCAACTAGTCTGTGCTTTCACCAATAGCCTCTCACAGGCTCTCTTCATAGTGCCAAGCCTCAATTTCTTTGCATGATCCCTTCAGTCTTGGGCCTTCAACTGCCACTGAGGCTGCACCTTCACCAATGGCCTCTCCTGGCCTCTCACAAGCCAAGCCTCAGCTGCTCTCCATGACCCCTTCGTGCCTTCACAACCAGTACCACCTGGGTGACTCTTACACTATGTTCAGCTGCCAGCACAAGGTACAACCTTGGCCACCTCTGAACACAGCTTCTATGTTTCTCTCAGGAAACACTTCCCAGAAGGATTTTGGCCAAATGATGGTGATCTCTTCTTAATCACTGCTAATTTCTAAGTTCCAACCAACCAACATCAATTGTGCCAGTAAAGCAAAGGTTTTTATTTAGTGGTTCTGTTCTCTTGTTAATCATAGCTGATTCTTCAGCTCCAGCTGATGAGACACCACAGATTTTTCACATAAATAGCTCATTAGAGTCTTTGCTTCCCTCTGAAACTTCACAAGCCAGGTCTCTATCATCTCCTCTGGTCTCAACATATCTTCAAAGTTCCAACAAAACTGCTCACTTAGCCCTCAGCATTCAATGGCTCTTCTGACTGAAAGTTCTAAAGTTCTTCCACAATCTTCCCCCAAAACATGGTCAGGTCTGTCATAGCAATACTCCACTATTCCTGGTACCAGCTTCTGTTCTAGTTAAGGTTAACACTGCTGTGATGAAACACCATGACCAAAAAAACAACTTGGGGAGGAAAGGGTTTATTTGGCTTACACCTGGACATCATAATTCATCACGGAAGGAAGTCAGGACCCCCCTCAAGTGGGGCTGGAACCTGGAAGCGGGAGCTGATGCAGAGGCCCTGGAGGGGTCCTGCTGCAGGCTTCCCTCCTCTCACATGACTTTAGCTTGTGTCAAGTTGACAACTATCCAAGACACATTGTCTCCTCACATTCTGTTCTCATAAACTCTACTCAAATTCTAGGATTTTGTGATGAAATCTCTTAAAATCTCCTTCAACCAACTTCCAGGAAAGAATGCATTGTGGATACATTGTGCTGCACCCTAGGTCTTAAGAACTTACTTGTCTTAAACATGAACCTTTGTACTCTTAGACCATAATCTCCTTAGTTCATACTCCTGCCCTGGTACCAGCTTCTATTTCTCACTTCCATAAACTTGACATATTTAGGTTCTACATATGAGAAAGATGGTGAAGTATTTGACTTTCCATATCTAGGTCTTGTGTGGTATGCATGTGTGTATGTGTGTGTTCATTTACAAACTTGGTTATGATTGTTTCAAGGGAAGAATATCTTTAAGCCATGGAGTCTAAGGATTTGTGATACCAACGCCACAGCATTGTATCCTGGGATAGAAAACAGACACAGACTGGAGAATTTAGGGAAATCAGAACAAAGTAGGTTTTTAGAATTATCTTGGTATTTCATTCTGGGTTAAAGATTGTACTGTAGCTACATATAGTGTTCCTTTTGAGGGAGGTGTTGAAGGTAGTTGCAGTCTTCCAGCTCATTTGAGAATCATCTTAAAGCTTCCTAGGCTTAAAAACTGAGTAATATATTGCATTCAAAAATCAATTAACTTACCTGGTAGAATTCAAAGAATCATTTGGTTTTGTTCAAACTTAAACTTAGGTCAGTAGGCAATTTGCTATATTATACAAGCCAGAATAAACCAAAGACATATGTACCGAAAAGACATTAGTTGACAGAAATTAAATAGACAATGACTCTCCCATACCCTCTAAAACCTCAACATCTAGTCATCACAGTTTCTGTAGTCCAGATGTGAAGTGGGAGCCTTAGTCTGTGGGAGCTCTAGAATGTATTCTCTTATTTATCTCAGACTGTGAGCATCATGTTATGTCCAGGGTAGAGTCTCTGTTTATGGATTTGTACTTTTCATTCATGTGACCAATAATTACAATCTGATCAATTAAATAGACCTAGCCATATTTTGATGCTGTGTCAGGCTCATGGCCAAATACACACCTGTTTTCACAGCATCTGTGATATGGCTGCATATCCCTTCTAATGTCTAAAGGCATATTCATTCTATAGGCTCGTACCTTTCTGAGAGCTAAATCTGCACAGTGGGTCTCATCTAGGGATTCAGGATATTTCATACCAGGTATATTCTATACCCACCCAAAGTCATCTTCTCAGAATAGTGTTAGGTTCCCCTGACATTTAGAGATTTTAGCCATATTGCTCTAGAGCAGTGGTTCTCAACCTTCATAATGCTGTGACCTTTTAATACAGTTCCTCATGTTGTGGTGACCCCCAACCGCAAAATTATTTTCATTGCTACTTCCTAATTGTAATTTTGCAACTCTTATGAATTATAATGTAAATATCTGTGTTTTCCAATGGTCTTAGGTGACCCCTGTGAAAGGGTCTTTTGACCCCCCCCCCGGGTCATGACCCACAGGTTGAGAACTGCTGCTCTAAAAGGGTATAAAATCTTCACAGAGACAAAGTAGACCAAAGAAAGAAATTAATGTCAAATTCATGTGTCATTGCAGAGTTCATTTTGTAGGTTCTCATTTTCTTGGTTCTCTCCTACAAATAAAGAGATTGAATAATATGATTGGAAATATGATTCCTTGTATTAGTAAGGCCATGTTCTGCTTTGGACCCATAATGCCCATGAGAAGCTCTGACTACATGGACAGCAGGGACTTTCCTGAGCACTAGGATTGTGAATGGGTTGGTCCTAGTGCTCCTTAACTGGTACTGCTGAAGGCAGAGTGAACAGGGGGAGGGGTACAAAACTTTCCCATCCCAGTTTCTAGGAAAATGTGACTTCAGCTACACTCTAGTGTGGGTGTTAGTTTCTTTATGAAATGCCTAGTATGCTCCCACTTCTAGCTGTGTACACCAACTGCTAAGCCAGGAAACCAGATAATCCCTTGCCAGGGACTATGTGCAGCTCTTCCAGAATCAGTTTGGAGACACCCCCTCCCTCCTCCCCGGTAGCTGAAACACAGGAAGCCAGCTGGCACTGACTGCTCAATTAAGGACAAGCAGTAAATTGCTGTTTTTGTAGAGGTAAAGCTAATCACAGTCCTTACCTGACTGCTCTGCTTTGACGTCAGACTCTCAAGTACCGTGTGTGTCTTCCACAGTTGCTCTGTGAAGTGGGAATGTTGAAGGGTCCTTTGTTTCTCTCAGGAGTTCTCAAGTAGCTCTAAACCATGTGTCACACCATATCATGCTCCCATAGAATCCAGAGTGTCATCAGGCCCAGGAGCCATTAGGAGAAGTGAACCGTGGTCTGAACTCTTTGCACTTGTTAATTGAAGTTCTGGTACAATTCACCTGTTTACAGAGTAACCCTGAAGAAGAGAGTCCAAACGTGAACACCATACCCTTGACCTAGGAGACAGAGAAGATTGCAACAATGTTCTTACTTTAGTGAACTGAGGTTGTTGCAAAGGAAGGGAGCGGGTGTGACATGTCAACGAATCTGAGACGGCATGTACTCATACGATTTGCAAATGTTTCTGATGAACTCAGTCCAGCTTTAAAACACAAGTTTTTACTCTGTCACTCAGACTGGCCTTAAACTGGAAATCCTCCTGTTTTGAGTGCCTCTTGAGTTTGGGGGTTATAGGCAGTGTACCACCTCTCTTTGCCTGATTTAAACTCAATTTTATATTCGGCATTAAGACACTGATACTTGGTGAGTTAAGGAAAAACAACTGCAGGAATGTTCTAGAATGTAGAATCCATTTATTGGTTTAAAGACAACCTGGGAATTAGAATGCTTTGGGAGATTTGTAAAAAAATAAATGTGCCACTCTTAGAAAGAAAGAACATAAGACCTCGTAGTTTTTCTTACAGTGACAAATAATGCCAAGGACTTGCCTGGTTGGTTGTAAAAACTAATGGAGCCACATTTTCACACAGCATTCAATTAATTATCTGTGTCTTGAGAGCCTTAGAACAGCACTTCTTGATGTCCAGATCAGATCCTTACCAGTGTCTGCACCTCAGGCTGCCTTGGGCTGCAGGTGAGGATTACCATGGGTGGGAAAGTGCTTCGCTGCCTCTACAACCTTTCTAAGAGCATGGGGAGTGAAAGGTGCCATATGGCTTGTCAGTGTTAACAAGAATAAAAGCCCTGGAGGACACTTGCAGAGAAGCATTCATCAAGACGTTCCTGAAGGCTGTCTAGGAGCTTCTGTCTTACCTACAAACTCTGGTACTGCTCTCCTCTCCCATTCCAATATGTGTCCCCCTCTGCATAAGCCTATGCCTTCTAACATCCATAGGCAGGAAAGTGAATTCGCATCTGTCTCTGGGGTAATGTGCTTATTGAATGGTGTGATGACGAATTACACTCATGCTTCTTCCAGGTCTCTGATCCTCCAAATGACAGACTTGCTCAAAATGACTGCTCCCTTCGAATGGGGCCTGGCAGCATCCTCCCCTTCTTTGGCTCTCCTACCCTTGGTGAGAGCAGAGAGGCAGCTTAGGGTTTCACTCTTGGGAGGACGATGACTGTCTGTGCTGCAAAAGGTTGCTAGGGATGAAGTGTTAAGGGGTGAATTTCCCAACACCGTGGGAAGCAGATCCCCTGATGTGAGACAACAGGAAATGGGATGTTCCCAGGTCCTTGAGCTCTAGAAAATACAGGCAGGACTATGATGGACAGAAGATCAGAAGTCTAGTTTGCTGTTCTTCCCAGGGGACATGGAGGCTGTAAGCCAGGTGTGGGGATTTCAAACCAAATCCTCACAGAACAGGAAGGCTGTGATCATACACATCAGTGGGTGTGATAATACATTGCTCAGCTAGATTCTTCACATGCTTCAAGATAATAGTCATGGAAAGAAAACCACAATACAGTTGCTCTGGGGGAAAAAAGAGACATCTTGGGGTTGTAAAAGACATGCTGCATTCCTACATTCCTTACTTCAGCTAGACTCAGAATTATTTATTAGCTGTTAGAAAAAGTTCTGGAACCACACAGCAGAACTTCTCACCAAGGACACCTTTCTAATCTGAATAAGGAAGGTTAATAAGTGAGATTGAATAATTTGTAGAGTAATTTGACTATCACTAAACATCTCCTGGCTTGTAAGCATGCCCCTTCTCTGAGGGAAGCAAGAGGACATTTGGTTCTGTTGAATTAGAGTAATTTGGAGGAGGGTGGAATCATCAAGTGGATTAATTCAGGGATTTAAAGAAAGCACAGACCCCAAAATTAGATAGTCCATGTTGTCTAGACCAAATTACAGTTTGAAATGATCCGTGATCTCTTTGTCAGTAGACCTGGATGGACTACTGTGACAGTAAGAAAGGGGAAAAGAACATATGTAATGTATGTAGGTAAACTTTTATTTAGAATTCAACTCAGTTGCAATTTCTTACATTGATTCATCAAAATAAATGAGTAATATTTCTTCTTAGATTCAAGAAATAATTACTACACACCACTTTAGGGCTGAGGTTTGTGCTTGGGAAGTGTATAAGGCATACTCTATGTCTTTGTAGAAGTTATATTTCAATCAGAATAGATAAGCACATACTTTCTGTGGGTGTGATGTGATCCACTTAGAATTATGGAAAGTGAATCAGTGGGAGCAGGGAGGGACTACCTGATTATTTGACATGATAGGAAATGTGTGAAATAATAGAAAGGAGGGAGAAATATGGAGGAAGTTCGAGAATTCTGGCTATGGATAGATGGATGGGTATGTGAGTGAGTGGATAATGAATGGATTGATGGACATGTGGATAGTTGAATGAGTGAAAGAAAGGATATGGCAATAGATGGATGAGGGGATGGATGGACATATGAATATATGGGTAGACACAATACATGAGTGAGTAGGTGGGTGGATGGGTGGATGGATACACATGTGAATAGATGATGGATGGGTATGTGGGGAAATGGATTGATATGTGAATAAATGAATTGGTGGATGAATACATAGATAGGCACATGAATAATATAGACATATAGGAGGGCAAATGAGTATAAGATGGGTAAAATAGGGGCTGGAGAGCACTGGCTGCTCTTCCAGAGGTCCTGAGTTCAATTCCCAGCAACTACATGGTGGCTCACAACCATCTGTAATGAGATCTGGTGCCCTCTTCTGGCTTGCAGGCATACATACAGGCGGAATACTGTATACATAATAAATAAATAAATCTTTAAAAAAACAGATGGGTAAAATAAGTGAATGAATGAATGAAAAACACATTTTAGGAGTTGTCTGTGTCATTATAAGGATATATTATAGTGAATGAGCAAGAGATATAAGGTATAAAATCAGTCTTTTAAGTTGAAACCAGCTTACTTTTTAATGATAAATTTATAAAGGAGTAGGAAGAAGAAAATACTTTAGAAAGGATTTTCTTTTTATTTAGATTGTTTGATTTTTTGGTACCAAGGACACATGATTGGAAAACAATCTCTCTCCTGTCTCTGTCTCTGTCTCTGTCTTTCTTTCTCTGTATGTCTCTTTCTGGGTGTATGTTTGTAATTAAGAAGACCTTCTTTAGGCTTACAGATCAGTGACTGACTTACCAGGACAGGAGGAAGCCTGGGAGTGAAGTCAGTGTCCTCCTCTCCTCAATCAACTCATGTCTACTCTAAAAACGTAGAGGAAATCCACACATCCGCCTTCCCTGCCTGGGATTCTTCACTCATCACAACAGCAAGGATTTTATTCTTAGATAAATGTGGAGCCAGCTCCAAATATTTTGTTTTTAAAGTAATGGCTGCTTACAATTTCCTGTATTTTCTGTAGCTCCCACTGAGCTTCCAGAACAGCATTTGAAAACGAGTTTTCTAAAGATAAGAAGGTACTACAGAAAGGAGACAGGGAAAGTGACCGTCCAGATCAGGCTGTACCCTGCTCTAAGTGGTGTCCTATTGTGTGAAACAGTGGCTTTCAGGATGTGTGTTGCCCTGGGTGATTTTGTCTACAGTGTTTGGCTTAATTTTGAGCACAAATGTAGACAGCAGGATGGCTCTGCTCCTAGTTGTTTGTGTTAGCACCACTGCTGGTCCTGCATCATTCACTAGGCACTGACTGGTAAATAACTTACTTCTAATAATAAAAACTACCACTTTATAAATTTGCCAGAGTCAACTGGCATGCCATGAGTCCTTGGGCATATTAAATCCCTATCAGAAACAAGACTTGAGAATTATCAAATACATCAGACCAAGGAAGGGTGCAAACTCATTTGGGGCCTCATAAAGAAGAGGACATAGATGCTAGAAAATTGGGATGGGGCTTGCATCCACAGAACTGGCATTGAACCGCCCAGTGTGTGTATCAAGGAACCAACTGGCAGATAACTCCTGACTCTCCCCTGGGCTTCAGCTCAGTTTGGTCCCTTCAGTTGACACAGTCTACTCAAATTGCCAACAGCATATTCATCTATTTGTTTTTTTGGCCTGACGGTGTATCTTTTCTCTAAAGTTCTATAGTACTATACCTGCCTCTATGACTGGCATAATCCCACACCTCACTTTTGTAGCTCAACTTAGCTGTAGATCCTGTTAACTGAGACCTGCAGTCAGTCTTGCAATTCAGTTCCTCAACCCTTGAAGCTCTCTAGTACAATCCCTTCAGACTCCTTAAACCTGTTGCAGCCTCCTTAACCCCCTTTCAGCCATATTCTCTCTCTCTCTCTCTCTCTCTCTCTCTCTCTCTCTCTCTCTCTCTCTCTCTCTCTCTCTCTCACTCAGAGTTATTGTGTGGTGTGTTGTATGTGATCTGAGACTTAATATAACCAAGATCAGAAAGAAAGAATCTGTATTTGTTAATAGCTCCATAACAAGGACTCCAGGACTATTCCTCAAAACCTACAAGGATCTATTCTTACTAAATAAATTGTTACATTATGGAAAGATACACAAGTACCCATGTTTTTGTCATGGTGTGCTCACCACAATGCCATAAGAAGAAGGAAGGTGAAAGTTTATAATGTCCAAATAGGAAAAGAGGTAAATTTCAGGCTGAGGAATGCTGAGGTTTCCTGGGAAGCCCTGGCATGGAAGGCTGCCTATGACTTCAGGAAGCTTGATTATAGTGGAGTTCACATAGCAGTGACCATCATCATTGACGGGTGGTCTCTGTAGTGTGCTACAGCTGTTTGCAGAACTTGACTTTCCCCAGGCCAGGCCAATAGCTGTGGATGAATGACATGGTGGTGTTTATACTAAATCAGCACTGAAAATCAGACAGAACACGGCGTGGTGGGATGAGGGCTCTCTATAGAATGTTAGAACATAAGAGGTTTAAAGCCATGTGGAGGACTGGCCAAAGCCAGCAGGGACCTTGGGGAGATTTTACAACTGCAAGTGGAATTTAAAACCTGTTCAGTGGCCATGATGGCCATGCTTACAATGAAATCTAATGATGATATGTATAAGAGCTTGAGGAGACCTCAAGTGACCTGGGGAGGGGTCCCTATGAGTATACCAAACATCTTGTAGACTTGTGGGATGATAGATTGACAGAGAGAGGGTATGGTCTATATCTTACAAATATACCTTGATAAAAGACCTGCAAAGAATTTTTGCAGGAACCCTGGTAAAGTGAATGAGAGGGCCCACCTCTCCCTGGGTGCTATGTAGGTATTAAGCATTGTTAAAATCCATCTTAGTATGAGGAGATTCTTTATGTTTAAATGGCTCACTGTGTGTGATGCTTTGATGCTTTGGCAGGGAAGTTGTAGTACATGCCAGAACCTCACATGGGCTGGAATATGAACACATATGGACAAGCCATTGCTTCAGAGAAGAAGTTTGGAGAAGCTATTTGAATGGGAGCCACCTTTGACCTCTGCAGTGTGTGTTCCAGCATGGACTTGGCATCGGGTATTCTGGGGAAAGGGTCTGAGTTCAATTCAGAAGTTTCTAGAAGATCCTGAGCCCAACATGAAAATGATCAGAAAAAAAGTTTTGGGCATGTTGACTTGAGCTGTTAGGACCATGCTTGGGCCTAATGACTCCAGGACACAATGATACTGCCCCATACTACTAGATGTCATCAGGCACATACCTACCAGCAGAGTATAAGGAGTGGACAGAACCATCTCTCTCTAATAGTCCCGACCTCTGTGGTCACTGCTGAGAGATGCTTTCTAGCTGGTGCCAGGGTTTTTTTGGAGTGACTGGGTTCATTTTCTCTCACTGCATGTAACTGGAACCTAGTATATGGATAAAGTTACATGCCTAAAAATATCTAAACAATATTTTTTCCCATCCTTTGTAGAATGGGAATTTTTTTTTTCATGGTTGCATATTTGGATCCCTACAGACAGGCCCAGCGGGAGTTGGAAAATGAGTTTCTGAAATGTGAGGTAGGGCCTAAAAATGTTGTGCTCAGCCATACTGGGAAGAAAGAGCAAAGGAAGTTACCTGAAAGGGTGAGCAAATAGCCTTGCTGGGTGTCCAGGAAGGTCCTAAGAGGTGGCAAGAGGCCAGGGCAGGTACTTGTTTCCAAGGCAACAGACTCTGCAGTTTAGAGGAACACTATCATGAGAGAGGGGACTGTGACCAGATGGGACCAGAAGTCAGTGGGTACCTTCTGGAGAAGTGTCTGCTGCTCAGCCTCCTGCACAGACTGGGGGAGGCCCCTTGTGCTGTTACCTGTGGCACTGTGGTGTGGGTGGGCTGTGTCTGCCAATCTGAACCACAAACCCGTGGAGAACCTGGAAGAAACAAGGGAATCTACTGGGATTTAAGCAAAGCAGGGCCTTGGGGAGTCTGGGGAAGAGACGTGCTATCCTCCTTTTGGATAATGTCAACAGAAGGACACAGGATAGTGATTAGTATTTTCATCAGTGACTACCTGAGCAGATCATTTATACATATTCAGGCACTAAAAAAGCCCAGGGTCTGGGCTTCATATCAGATTTGTTTTCTTGTGTTTATCTGCAATACACATGGGTAACTGGAATCAGGAAAGAATACTTCCCCAAATGCAGACAATTTACAGAACACTGTAACATCAATCACAGGCTGGTAACTGAAATTATCAATAGATAGTAGAGATATATTAAACTGCATATGGGTTAAGTTCTGATTACATCTATCACTATTTCTCTCTTTTAGATGAGGGAACAGGATCAGTGATGATCATCTTTGGGTCTGGAACAGATTAAGTCTTATTTGGAAAATACCTTCAATGAGAACACGTCCCGAACAAATGTGATGTTGTTTTATGCAGTATAAAAATGTTCAATTCATAGTCTATGATTTATTCCTAAGTAGGATTTTAACTAATCCAGTAAACACATGACCTTAATTATTTTTAAATTGCACAAAGCTGGCTGATGAAATGCAAATGTGTTGGATCTGTCTGCTCACAGTTATTTCACAGAGCTTTGCTTGTGTCTTGTGAAGGCACACACAGGTCTGCCACCACCCTCAAATGCAGAGCTCACACTCCTTTGACTAGTAAGGCATTCGGGCTGAAACAGTGTTTCTCTGCTTAGAAGATAGCCACCCCTGAACATCGCAGGTACAACAGCTGGTAACACTGTATCTTCCCTAGTACTTACCTGGAGAGATGGGTCTGTTTCTAGGGTGGCAGACACCACATAATAACCTTCATGGTTATGACCTGACAAAGCCAGTGGATATTCTCAGAATGGCTAGCTTGTGGCTGAGTGAGAAGTATACCAGAGCTGGTGCACTCCACTGACAGCTGTGTACTTAGGTTTCTGTAGGTCCCTCTTAGCTGAGACTCACACTGTTCTGCTTATGTGGTTTTGGAGGCCTCTATCTCAAAGGATGTGGCTGTCAACACCAAAGCACAGTTCTTACTTGAAAGAGAACAAGAGGGTTTGTTCTGAAGTCAGATTTGAGTGACTGTGGCTTGGGAATAGATTCATGTTACTCCAAACAAATACCATGCTCCTAAGTAGTAAATTTCATGAAGTTTTATAGTAATGGAACAAGAAAATCATAAATAAGACTCCTTTTAAAAACATTGTATGAAACATCAGGCAAGCAGTTTACAAAACAATGGAGAAATCCCTACTCTTGGTTTCCCACGCTATCTGATGACATTATTAGCCTTTGTGTGGAAGCTTGGGAGGAAGCTAGGGTACAGGATGGAACTGGTCTAGGGAAAGGATGATGATGACTGAGATTGAAGAGTAATTAATACAGATTATAGTAACAATAAATTCTAACATACATAAACATTTTTCATGTGACAAAGCACTAACTATGTTTTACTTGCATTAATCAATGCCATTAACAGTCCTTGAGGAAAATACAATAGGATGGAAATGTGACTAGATAATTAAAAATGAAGACAACTTGGGAACAGGACATGGGACAGCGATTGGTGTTTTGATCAATGACTGGCTATAGGGATGAGAAGCGAAGGAATTATCAAAGATGCCCGATGCCTTCACCATCTCAGCTTGGGGACTGTATGCTAGTGATTCCATTTATAAAAAGAAGGATACTGGGCACACAGATATATCTAGTTTCAAATGTCAAGAAGCATTCGGGTTTATATATTAGTTGTATAGATGCCCCTCCACATTTGATAGTTTTCATATGTGAAACCCACTATGTGACCCAAATAACAAAATGCACAGGAGCTACCAAACCCTGCAGCTCAGCAGCACAGTACATTGCAGCATCTGTGGGGTCCTTTGTGACCTAGAGGCAGCCCAGAGCTGACAATGCTCTGAATCATGAGAAAGTGCCCCATTGTGTACCACTAGCCTTGAGAAAGGTCAAATGTAGCCTTTGAAGTGTGGCTTAAATTGGACGCACATCACTTTTGCACCATGGAATTGGGGACCGTGTGTAAGCCTGATAAAGCTGTACTTTATATGAATTATGCATTGGTATAAATGACAAAAGGGCAACAAATAAGAAAAGCCACTTCCTGGGGAGGTGCTTTGAGTTCCTATTTGAGAAGAAAGTTTACAGCACTCTTAATAAGAATTTCTTTCCATTATTACTCTCTTGTTTTTGCTGCTTACTGGTCTGTACTACCAACCAAGGATGTTTGTCAACTCCAAGAGGAACTTCAAGGCAATTCACCTCCTTTTTAGTGTCTACATTTTCCTTGGTAGCTCAGTTCCCTCACACTCAGTCCTGCACTTATGGAGAAGAGTGCCCACTATCATTAGATCTAGCTTGTCATACATACCACGCTGCTGGACCCCACCAGTGAACGGCCATTTAAAAGGCCGTGCCACTGACTAACAACTATTATTTGTCCTTGTGGGCTGACACTCCCTTCTATGGACTATTATCTCACAATCCTTCTCTTTCCATACTCTGAACCTCCCCTGCTTCCCCTGCACACTTCCCTTACAGCCAAATCCCTTCCCACAGCCTTAGGAACAATAGCAGTAGGGAGGGGGTACTGATGGCACCACTGCTCACCTGTCTTCTTCCTGTTCCGCACTGTCTTTGGGGCCCCAGCTCCTATGGGCAGCTCCATGGGATTGCTGGTATGTGAGATTCCAGGTAAGGATAGAGTCTTGATGCTTATGTTCATGGATTGCCTGAACCTGCAGCGGGGTCTTGCTGTTGAAATGTTAAGAATGCAGTGACAAATCACTTTGATGTGCTCCTTACAGTCCCAGTATTCCCCGGGGGTGTTATGTATCTGTCTGTCTGCGGTAGTTGGGGGAAATGTATACCCAGTTTACTTGGGTTTTGGCCAATTACACATCTTTGTTTGGCTCATGATAATCGGGTATAAAAGGCTCCTTAGTAAATATAATAAAAGTCCATGATTCTTCTGTGACTAACATATCTCACATCACCTTGGTGGTCCTATGTCCAAAGATGAAATTTGTTTCTGTTAGCTAGAGGATGGATTAAAAGTCTTTTCTGTGAGTTCATCTCCTGCTGTTCTGCAGGTCATTCATATCTCCCCTAAAGTGTTGCCTATATAAAAGTTCAAGTCTTCTGCTTTTCCTGACCTCAGTCCTCAATGAAGTCCTTTCTTCTCAGGGCTATGCTATCAAGCATCCTGTTCTCTATTTTGAGTCAGCATTTTATTCCATACTGAATCGTTTAAACACATTTTTGAGCGTCCCCTAAGGATCTAGTGCTTTCTTTGATCTACTTTGCAATTAAACTGTTTTAAAAACAATCAAAAGTTGTTGTGGAATTGCTAGCACCTTTGTGAACCACTGATGGGACTGTTAATGGAAAACAGTATGGTAGGTACTCAAAAACTAAAAATAGAACTGCTGTGAGACTCAGAAATGCCACTTCTGTGTTTTTAATACAAAAGAATTAAACACAAGGATCCAGACATTTGTACAAAAGATGTTTGTACACCCAGGAGCACAGGAACATTGTTTAAGATAGTCCAAAGGAGGAAACAACCCACATATTCAGCACATATGTGCATATGCACACAAGTGCACACATGTATATATAACTGTGTACACAGACACATATGAAACAGAATATTTGGCTTTAGGAAGGAAATTCAGACACAAGTACAGCATGGATAAACCTTGATGATATTGTGCAAAGTGAAATAAGCTGTTAAGAAAGGACAGATATTGAGCAATCCGACTTATAAGATGTTTATAGACACAGAAAGTAGACTGTAGCTTGGGAAGACTATGAGAGGGGAGGGATGGGGAGTTATCTGTAACAGGACAGAGCTGGTTTGGGATAAAGAGCATCCTAGCTTTGAGCAGATAATGGCTGTACAGCAGTGTGGCTGTGCCTAATGTTGTAGCACTGCTAACCGCTATATTTTTACCTCAGCTGATACAAACCTTCCCATTCTCAGTCATTCTGCTCCAGGCTTTCTTCCCTACCATCCAGGGCTATATTCCACAGCCAAGGTCATGTGGCTCATGGTCAAGATTACTTTAAGCAGCTTTGACACAGTCAACCATGTCCTAGCTCCTGGCGTCCTTTTGCATACAATGGTCCTCGCACCACACTCCTCTGACCCCGCCCCCCCCTACACTCTCCTTGTTGTGTTTTTAGAGCCCTTAGCTGGTCTCTAAACTCTTAACTGTTGAGGCAGCCCCTGGCATAGCTGCCATGTCACGCCAGTTCAGTGTGCTACTAGGTTTGCAGTCGGATCCAATTTTAGGACTCTAAAGGCCACCTGCAGCTGATGCTCTATGTTCTGGGCTCCAGCTGGACTTGGTCCTGGGCCTTCAGGCTTGTTCACTAGATTTGCTTTTGTCATCAATCCTACCTCAATTTCGACAGTAAATTCTGAGTCATTTCCCAAGCCCACTTCTCACAGTCCTCTGGTTCTGTAACAGCTGCTCATTGCCCAGCATATCAGGCCACATCCTCACCCCACATTGAATCCCCCATAGTTCTTTCCCACCATCTGTTCCGTGGCTGTAGGCCCAGGAAACAGCCTCTTTCACCTGAGTATCCACAATGCCTCCTGAGAGGCCGGTGTGATCTTTTCCTCTTGCCATCTCTTTTCAGTGCAGCAGCCTGGAGAAGTCTTCTCGTCCCTAGGGTCAGACCTGTCTGTGGCCTCCATTTCCCCTGTGATACCAGCCATCTTGGTTGTGGTCCACAAAACACCTGCTGCTCTGTCTCCAGAGCCTGGACCTTAGATCTTGCCAGTGGCGTTTCCCCTGGTCCTTCACTCCATCAGGATCTCTGCCCCAGGTCGAGCCTCAGAATGCTTTCACCTTACCTGGCACCTCAGCAGGCTTCTGGGGTTCTCCTCCATGGGGGTTTTCATCAGGTGCTGTGTCAAGTGTCTCTTCCATTGTTTTCTGATCATCTCTTGTCCTGGATCAAAATTCTTTGACGTTTCTTTCATCAACGGTAGGGGAAAGGTTCAATATTACCCTTACTCCTTGTTGCATAATCTATTAGAATGTGCAGGTTTTATGTAACAGCAATAAGACTCCATATGCACATGTGCTAATGGGAACCCGACAAGCATTTCCTGTGTGCTTAAGTATTTGTGTGTAAGAGAAATCTCGAAGGACAGGAACTCTGTGGCAGCAGGTAGAGCAGACCTTCTTTCCCACCTTTCTGGGTGTCCTTGAGATGACACAGCAGGTAAAGGTTACTGTGATGAGATATACAAACGGATTTGTGCTGGTGAAAATGTGAGTGTATGTAGACAAGTATACAGTCTTCCTTAGTGGGGCTTCTGCTCGGTGTCATGTGATTTCCTCGGGTAGAACCTAAGGGTATCTGCTCTTTTCTGTCAGCAGTGTTTTCACTCCAAATTTAAAATTGAAACCAGATGAAGCAAGGCACACCTAAAACTTCAAAATATCACTTGTCATACTTTGGGTTAGAGATTGTTTTTCCAGAGTATCAAATAATGCATCATAGGATTGTTAACCTGGCGCCAGGAAGAGCCATTTTGGAAGAGGGAATCTAAATTGAAAAAACACCCCTACGAAATTGACCAGTGGGCAAGCCGGGGGGAGCATTTTCTTGGTGATTTATGTGGGAGGGCCCAGCCCATTGTGGGTGGTGCCACCCATGGGCTGGTGGTCCCGTTTCTATAGGAGAGCAGGCTGAGCAAGCCATGATGAGCAAGCCAGTAAGTGACACCCCTCCACGGCCTGTGCTTCAGCTCCTGCCCTGACACTCATCTCAGGGATGGACTGTTACCTGGAAATATAAGACGAAATTATTCTTCCCTTCCCAAGTTGCTTTTGATCATGTTTTATCACAACAGCAGAAAACCCAAGATAGCAGGTATGGAATCCTCTTCAGGATGAGGTCAGGCCTGTGGTTGAGCAACAGCACACCTGTGGAGCTGTGACTGAGTACACACAGTGAGAGGCTCCCCCTCTCCCTGGCAGCCAGCACCTCCCTGTGAAACAACCACAAGAGTTGGGAGTATCCAGCTGGAGAGCCACTCACGTGCACACTGATCCGTGAGCCCAGTCTAGGGTTGGACTGCACCTACTTGAAAGTGGCCCAAGACTCATATGCCAGGACTGCTTTCCAGCACATTCTGTTCCTTCCACGAAAACTTCTCAGAAGTAATTCACGTTTCCCTGGCACCTTGTGTAGGCATGTTACACAGATGGGTGAGAGAAAGACAGCATTTGAGGGTGTTCACAGGGCACTCTTAGGGCTCTTCTTTCCTGTCTGTCACTATTCTCAGGACAGGCACATGGCGTTTATCTCCAGCAGAGGCTGCTGAACTTGAGAGAAGTTGCCCACATGGCAGACCTGCTGCAGGGATCCCCTGGTCTGAAGACACATGCCCACAGCTCAGGTGTTTCCTTAGTACTGCTGTCCCATGCCTGGGTAGGGGTCTATGACGGAAGGCTCACTAAGTCTGTGCTGCCAGGCTCTAATCCTGGGTTGTCAGCAGCAGCAGGGACGGAGACACAGCTCCACACTGCCTCCAGGAGCACTCTGAGAATTCCACTAATCTAGGACCTCTACTTAGGTAAAGCCAGTGAGTAGGAAGCAGAGTTGAAATTTACCCAAAGACATATTAAACAAAGATTTAAAAAAAAAAAAAACAACTTTTTTTATGTCATGTGCATTGGTGTTTTGCCTGTATGTATGCCCATGTAAGGATGTTAGATTCCTTGGATCTGGAGTTACAATTTTGAGCTGCTATGTGGATGCTGAGAATTGAACCTAGGTACTCTGGAAGAGTAACCAGTGCTTTTAACCAGTGTGGTACTTCTCCAGCCCCTTAAACATAGATCTCAAGCACAGGGATGATGGAAGAGAAGTTCTGTGGAAGAAAGATACATCTGAGAGCATTGGCCAGGATTAAGTGCCTCCAGAGCAGCCATGTGTAAGGACATATTCTTTTCATGGAAAGACCTTGGGCTGGTTCCTGCTGCTCATGGTATGGGATTGTTGGATCACAGCTGACGAGGTAAAACCCTAAGTCACAAGGGTTGCAGGGAAGTTAAGATGTTTACCGTAGCCGGGCGGTGGTGGCGCACGCCTTTAATCCCAGCACTTGGGAGGTAGAAGCAGGCGGATCTTTGTGAGTTCAAGGCCAGCCTGGTCTACAGAGCGAGATCCAGGAAAGGCGCAAAGCTACACAGAGAAACCCTGTCTCGAAAAACCAAAAAAAAAAAAAAGAAAAAAAAGATGTTTACCGTACAAACAAGGTTTAGTCCTGTTTTTGAGATTAGCAAAAAGAAAAAAAAAAACTTGTCTAGGGAAGCTATAGACCATACTTGTAGGTCACACAGGCTTAGGTCTTAAGTTAATTGCATTGCTCTTTTAATGTTCTCCTCCATACATAAAAAGAAGGTTGTCTCTGTGTCAACAATCTCTACAGTAAGTTCTTTTAATTGTGCTGGAATTCTTGATTCTTAGCTGGAGAGAGGGAGAGGGAGAGAGAGAGGGAGAGGGAGAGGGAGAAGGAGAGGGAGAGGGAGGGAGGGAGGGAGAGAGAGAGGGGGGGTTTTCAATCAGATTGTGGTGTGAGGGGCTCCTTTTTCTTTTTATGTATCCATAATTTTCCAGGGTCATAGATGAAGATCAAAGCCCACCTCCACCATGACAGCAGTTGGAGGCCTTAGCTCTGCCCCCTTGTGCCCTCACATCTCATTTTCAAACCCCCTTCAGTGGAGCTGGAGTTGCCGTTTTAATTTTATTTCTCAGAGGCAGTGGTGATCTCTGTTCATCCTAACATCATATGGTCTGGGATGAATAGGTTGAGATTCTGAGTTGATCTCCCCATGAAACCCAAGAGGAGGAGATAAGTAACTCTTTAAAATGCTTGTGAAAGCATAAAGAACATGATCAAAGACAGTATGTTGAACTAAGAGTTCATTGAACATGAATCATGCATGTGTGGACTTTCAGCAAATCATGAGAGACAAGGTGTGCTGAGGCAGGATAGAAAGACCAGTGTGAGGACAGCTGAGGATGCCATGCAGGCAGTGGATGCCAGTCAAGTTCATTTCCATTCTGTTTATGGGCTGTTTCCTTTATCCCCTGTTAAGATAGCTTTGTCCTTATTATTCTAAGCTTATGTGAACTCCTCTCTCCCTGCCTCCCTTCCTTGGAACTGTGATTCACAGCCCTTCAATCCTGTCTCCTGATGGCTGAATCCAAGGCCCCAACCTTTCGGGGATTTTGAATTTGTACTGAACCACATGTAACAGTCACTGTAGATCACAGCTTTCCTTTCACTAAAATGGGAATTAGGACATTACAGAGTGCTGCAGGTGGGGATAAGTACTGAGTACTCTGTAGCACATATCCTGCAGTGAATGTTAAATTCCAACTTCTTCCCTTTCAATTCACTTCCTTGTGTCATTTCGGCCATTTCTGGCAAGGTATAGATAGAATGCAGATGATACGGAGGAAGAAATCTTTCTTATTTCCCCATGCCTCCTTGATTCTCCTGTAAATGGGAGTTGAAGCCAAGGAGAAACACAAGGAGAGGCTTGGGTGCACACCTCATCGCACTCCTGGGGAGCTCAGGACTTGGGTTTAAAGGACAACAGGGGACAGGGCTCTGGCTGCTGTTTGCAGAAGTGGCTGTAGGAGGGTGGCCAGCACAGAGGTGAGGCAATGTCCTTCAGGAGAGGGGCTCAAGGTTAGAGTCACTACCTCTGCCCTGAGCTGAGCTGTGCAAATTCTTCACTTTTCAGGGCAGACTAGGAGACATGATCTACAGGTGAGCATCTCCTTTAAGAGAGAAACTCCTCTCCCCATGTCAGTATTTCCAGGCAGTGGCTGTTAGATCACAACAACCCACATGCCAAGAGTTCAGAGATGAAACTCCTCTGTTACTGCTTTTGGACTGTGATGGCAGCTGGGTGGTGGTGGTGGTGGTGGTGGTGTGTGTCCTTGCTTGAGTGGTGTGACATACAAATTATGAAGACTTGAACTCTATAAAGAACTAACACACCTGAACATAGAAAGAAGCTTTTGTTATTTGTATAACAAATCTTCATCTAGCACAGCTCCTTTCTGAGAAATTACTGACACACTTACAGCCTCGTAGGAAAGTTTGTACTTCCTGATACACCTAGAATTTGATTTGGTTTACACCATTTCTAGTGTGTTCCAAGCTACTTAGAGAAAACTTTATGAATGTTAGGTGTTGTGACTCCAGACGGTTTTAGTCTCTTGCTCTTAAATAACTTCCCATTAAAGTCAGAATGGTGCTGATTTTGAGTGTACTAGAGCTGATATGGGAGAGTATAGAGAGGTGTTCAATGACAGAAGGACCACTTAAGTCCTACTTAGGAAAGGGGCTCTTCCTCAAGCCCTGGGACTGAGAAGAGTTGGATCATGTTCAAGTTCATTTGCATATGCCAGCCTGCCAAATTGACTCATCTCCTCTGGTGTTGGCTTCTGGACCCAGGATGAACAGATATACAGGTATCACAAGGTCATAGTTCAAGCATAAAGACTCACATGAGTAGATCTACCTCTTGGTTGGGGTTCAAGGTGACTCATGGCTGCAAGAGCTAGAATAAGGCTCAGCATCTTCCCCTCTACAGGAAGCATAACAGATGATGTGGATCTCATCTGGGTTGAAGATGCTGAGCAGCCAAGTTTCATTGTCATGCTTCTCAGAACAACACAGCAGCCATGTTGACATAGACTCCTTGTGTTCACACTTCTTAGTGGTTTTCTGAGCTTTCCCAGTGGGAGTTGGTGACTGGTGAGGAGTGCAGTCTTTACATAAGCAAAGAGTTATGTTCTCTCTCTAAGATTCTGTAATGAGTTAGTTGTGGGCTTCCTTCTTTCCTTCCTTTTTTTTCTTTCTTCCTTATGGTGATATTTTATTTGTACTGAAATGTAATTTTATTTGTATGTTAATAAATAAAGTTGCCTGGGGGTCAGAGCTAATAGCAAGCCATAGCAGACCTGGGCGTTGGTGGAGCATGCCTTTAATCCCAGCTCTTGGGAGGCAGATCTAGGTGGATCTCTGTGTGTTCAAGGATACAGCCAGCATGGAGACCCACGCTTTTAATCTTAATACCAACCATAGAAGACCTGGAGGTCTGTACAGACGGGCAGTGACAAGGAGGTCATGTGGTTGGGTTTACAACCAATGAGAAGGCAGAATAGAAAGTCAATAAAAAGCACAAATACACAGGAAGTAGGTCTCTTTCAGAGAGGTAGGACAACAGCGACAGTGAAGGGTAAGGTTTTTAGCTCTTAGCTATTGCTCTGACCTCTTGGCTTTCATCTCTGTATTGGCTCTGTGTTTCTTATTTAATAAGACGGTTATATCTACACTTCTTTCTTTTTTTGTGGAGAGATGGTTCAGTGGCTAAGAGCATTTGTTACTCCTGCAGAAAACCTGGGTTCATTTCCCAGGCTCACAGCCTTTCCACAACTCCAGTTCCAGAGGATCTGGACCCTCTTCTGCCCTCCCTGGGCGCCAGGCATGCCTGTGGTGCGCTGACACAATGCAGTCAAAACACTTGTGCTCATAAATAAATAAATGTAATTTTTAAAAGAGTTGCTTTACTTTAAGTATTTTTGTGTATGTGTGTCTGTGTGTATGTGTGTGGATATGTGCACTTGAGTGAAGGTACATGAGGAGGCCAGAAGAGGGCATCAGATCTCCTGGAGCTGGTCACAGGTGGTTGTGAACCAATAGCTGTAGGTTCTGGAGACTGAACTTGAATCCTCTGGAAGAGTAGTACACACTCTCGATTGCTGAGCCATCTCTCTAACCCCAGTTATTGGCATTCTAAGTGTCACTCAGGCTAGCCTCTCTATCCTGTGAATCTATATTTCAGGTTTTCCCAGAATTGATCATTATATCCCATTAAGTAACAAATGATCTTTAAAAGCCACAGGGCAGTCTTCCTGCCTAAAACCCTTAAACCAATCAACTTCAACAATTTCCATACCTGTCACAAGGATGGTGCTTGGTGAGCAGAGTGTATTGTTTCTCAATGGGCAGTTTCTGTGCTTAGATTTAGAGCTCTTTTGCCAATGGGATGTAGATACACATTTTGACTCCATAATGGTCTGCATGGAAGCTGCTGACATCCTAGACAAGGAAAACCTGCACCCATGGGTCAGGAAGAGAGGAAATGTGAGTAGCTATCCAACTGAGAACATCTATGCATTTGGGGGCATTTGTCCAAGTATGAGGTTAATCTGCAAGACCACCATTCCCAAGACTCAGGGAGTCTAAAAGGTCTGAATTCTGTGCATGGTCCTGGCAGGCCTCTCCTTAGGGGTTAAGGTCAAACCATGTTCAAGAGGTTTACAACATTAAACTCTACATGGCTATCCCAGCATTGGACATACAGCTTTCAGCACCCTATCTAATCATTCACATAACACTGCTACCAGCAAAGCTGGAACAGACTATCTACACTTGCTTTGATGCAGGAGACAATTCTGTGAGACATGGTTTAGTCTGGGGAAAAAAAAAACCTACCCCGGTAAACTCTTTGAGAATTTAATTGCTTTGTGTATAGAATTAACAATAGATTCTTATGTTCAAGTATAAATTTTATGACATGTTAATTTTGAACTAGGTGGTTTACAAGGATAGCTTAGCAACCTTGGATCCCTACACACACACACACACACACACACACACACACACACACACACACACACCAGTCCAAACAAAGCAACTGGTCACTACTCCCTAGCACCATCCTAGCATCGCACTAGAACCCCCCCTACACACATTTTTATTTATTTGCCGAACATATGCTGGACTACATCCTGGAGCTAACATCGAAGCCTAGAATGGTTTGTGGTATGTGCACAGTAAAGCAAACTGTGTCCTAAAATGAACTTTTAGGGGAGGGGAAATCCCCTATTTACCATCTCATGCCTATGTATGATTAGCCACGCACATTATTAAAATCAGATGCATCTTGGGAAAGACTATGAACAGAGAAGAAAGTCTTATGTAGCCTGTCAATCAAAACAGAAAACATCAGTGCTCCTGCTTCTAATAACCAGTTCCTCCAGGTCCCATGGAAAGAAGCCCTATGAAGTAATCTAGAGTGCTTGAGTAAATCTCACTCAGGGCCCACAGCTCTATTGCAGTGAATCTCCTCTACTTTCATTTTGCCTTTGAATACAATCTCTTTATTACCCTGTTATTTATGTGTACTTTTCAATTCTTTGAACTAGACATTAAGAACTTGATTTGTACTAAATGTTTCAACTCATAATGATGATACAACACTGTGTTATGTGATAACAAGCCTGATAATGCTTCCTATGGCCAAGTCATACAGCTATTCTAAGGAAATGAGATAAATGAGGTTTTCATTGGGAAAACTATTTTTTTTATGTTATTAGATAATATAAGGAACAGATTTCCTTTCTTTTTTATTTGGATTTTTTTGCTGAGTACTTGTCAAAGCAGAATGAAATAAGAAGACAGATGACACATGTTCCTAAAAAGAAATCAACGTCTATTGTGTTAGCACTAATGTCTATGAAATCCACAAACAATTGAGGTAGAAGTCTTTTTCATTTCTTAAGACAGGGTCTCACTAAATGGCCAAGGCTGGCTTCAAATTGGTGTTCCTCCTGCTTCAACATCTTAAGGGCTGAAATTACTAGGCACCACCATGCCTGTTTCAAAATTTATTTTTTAAGGAGCCAGGAGAAAATATTTCTCCAAGTTTAATACAATAATGAATATCTAACAAGGTCAAAATCTTCTTATGGACAAAGTCACAAGCTGCTTAATGTAATAAATTATTTTCAAGGTTCAGTATTTCAGGCAGAAGAATATTAGCAGAGTGATAAACATATCAATAGGAAGAGTCCTCAGCAGATGGACATTTTTAAGGAAATTCCAGGGGAGTCATCACTCAGTAGTGGTAGAAATGAACAGCAGAGTCAAGGAGTCAGTAAGAGAGTTATTTTTGCAACCTGGGATGCTTGGACTGGAAAGTGGACACATGTGAAAAGGATTGATGGGTGCGAGAGGAGGACAAGTGATGAGACCATACCCAGACGCAGGGCACCTAGACCCTGGCTCCCCATCTCCTGCTAACCCCTGTGGCTTCCACTGACATTTTGGCTTTAGGATCCCAGCAAGGGGCAGCCATTGCAGTCCTGTGTTTATTGTCCCTCTCAAGACCTTTGCTCTTGTCTGCCCTCCCTGACTTGGCTGGGTGCACCCTCTCTGTGAAGTTTGATACTGTTCTCTGAGGTATCCTGGGCACTAGCATTATTTTCTTTTGGCCAAGTACCTATCCCTTCTGCAAACCTGAGTGTACTGTGCACCATAGGTGGGGTTAGATGTCATTATCTCTGATTCCCCATCAATGGTCTGCATTCCAGCTGCCCTGGAAACCTTTTGTAAATGGAAGATGAAGTCTACACTTGAAAATCAATGGATAGTACACGTGCTCATAGATCTTTGAGGTTCAGTGTTAGTCAAATTTTCCTGGTTCCACTATAATGCAGAGGCATCTGGGAGATTCAGAGATGAAAGAATGTAGCTGGGCATCTAGGGAAGGGATTCACAGAAACAGCCGATAAAAGCAGATCTGTCCCAGGGCTGCACTTTTACTGATGTTTGCTAGTCCCTTCACACTAAAAACACCGACCAATTTAAAATAGTAGAGACAGCCACACAAGTTCTGTGTGTCCTAAGTTTGCAGTCAATGGGGACACATCCAGAGGAATTCATTATTTTCTTAGTGACTGTGCTTAAACAAGGGCACCACTCTACAGCCCCATACCTGCACTGCTTTCCAGACACACTGATCTGGGGGAAGTGCAACCTTTGATGGCTCTTGGTTTCTTTTCCTGTTGCTGTGATAAATTACCCTGACTATAGCATCTTATGGGAGAATGCATTTATTTTAGCTCACTGTATAGTTCATCATGGTGGGGAAGGCAACGCAACAGAAACTCTAAGCTGCTTGCTGGCTACCTTGAGGTGGAGAAGCTCCTCTGTCACACCTTCCCACTGCCATGATGTTATACCCAAATGCATAGTCTAAGCTATCCTAGACTAAAACCTTTTGAGACTGTGAGTCAAAGTAATGACCTGCTTTTATGATGTTTACATCTAGCATTTTGGTCATGGCTAGGCAAAAGTCACTAACCCCTTTCCTCCTGCCCCAGGATTCTGGTAGAACGTATAAATCTTCCCAAAAAACAACCTGCAAAGGAAACCTGCTTGTGCGTGCACTCTCCTCCCTGCTGGATCTGAAGGTTGAGCTGAAGAACAGCCACAAATCTACCTGAAAGGGGGGTGTCTTCCCTCTTGGCTGTGTATGCCAAGTCTTGCATTTTCTCTGAATCTCAGCTTTAAATGAACAGTTTATCACAAGAGAAACATTTTTCATGGTGGTAAATACATGTTGTTTAAATTTCCTAGCTGTTACTCTGGTGAAAATATAAGAGTTAGGAACCAGTAAAATATCCATCCTTCACCCAGCCAAATCCTGTGGAATCTATTTTGCCACTTCCAAATATAAAATAGTTCTTTTAAAAGTCAAGTGTTCACTAAAGCTGTCTCCACTGCCTCCCCATGCACTGTTCTTTTAATACTGCTGTCATACTGCCAAAGCTGTTGGGAGATTTATTTTTAAATGTAGAGATATGAATTTGGCTTTCCACTCACTTGCAGAACCATTTAAGTTTCTTCAGCTTTTAGAACGATGCTGATGCTGTTCTGTCAAGAGATGCAGTTTTTCTGTTAGATGTCTTCACTGCTGGGTTAGTCAGGGTTCTCTAGAGGGACAGAAATGATAGAGCGAGTACATATTACAAAGGGGATTTATTAGCTTGACTTACACAAGGGTTGGGTAGGTCAATAATGACAGTCTGCATGCTGGAAAGGCTGAGAAAGCCTTAGCCACTCAGTCCATGAGTTTCATGAGCCTGGTGCTCCAACATCCCTAATCTGATCCCAAAGGATGGAGATTCTAGAGAGCAACTGATCTTCAGTCCAGATTGGAATGTTGAAGCTGGGTTTTGATGTCCACAAAGGTTGGCAGCAATGGTGCAGAAATGATTCCTCAGAGCTTCCTCAGGATATGATTCCAAAAAGTTTCATTTGTTTTGTCCATCTCTGTTTCCAGTCTTTGTTGACTGGGGACAAATGTTTCCTCCATGATCCAGAGAGAAGTACCTGGACTTAGTTGCAGACAGATTGGAAGTGCTCTGGGAAATGGGGTCTATTGTCTTTTTTCAAGGCTATCTTGCCCCCAGGTCCTAAACATAACCAGTGGCAGTAGGAGGGGGAGGCTGTGACAGATGGACACACCAAGTTCCCATAAAATCAGGTGTATTGAAGAATTTCTTTAAAAAGGAATTTATTTTTGCGCTCTCTCTCTCTCTCTCTCTCTCTCTCTCTCTCTCTCTCTCTCTCTCTCTGTGTGTGTGTGTGTGTTTCTGTGTGCCTGTGTTAGCACACATACATATGTGCATGAGGGTCAGAAGAGGGTGTTGGCTCTCTGGAACTGCACTTAACAGGCAGTTGGGTACTGGGAACTGACTTCTCATCCTCTGAAAAAGTAACAAGTGTTCTTAACCAGTGAGCTATCTCTCCAGCTCCTATTTAAGAGTTTTCAAACACAATCTTCCTTTCTGAGGAGAGAAAAGGCTTCTACAACAATAATAGGCACAGGCACTCTACATCAATCATGATTAAAGAGTTTGCCACAGGATGGAGCCCTGATCTTATACCCAGTGTTCCGGTCCAGTCACACTCTACATCAATCATGATTAAAGAGTTTTCCACAGGATGGAGCCCTGGTCTTATACCCAGTGTTCCAGTCCAGCCTAAGAAGCCCCACTTATACCTGTGCACTCCCAGTCTCCAGGCTTGGGACAAGATACATATCCTGTCTCCAACCTACACATTCTGTCTGCTAGACTTTGCCCTGATAAGCCCTTTGTCATATTCATCTTCCAGGTCAGCCCAGACCAAGCCTGGTGAGCTCATCGTCCTAATCCTAAGGCTTCTATGCATACCCCAGTCCTCAAGTAGAGCCCAGGTACCACACACAGTGCTTCAGTCCACTCAGAAGCTGTGCCTTCCAAAGCTTCAAGTTTGGGCCAGG